TGTGAAAAAGCAGGCAGAAGATGGAATGGAAAAAGAGAAAATTAGGGAAGCCAGTTGCAACAGAGGAGAGGAAGATATGACAGAGATAGCTAGGAGGTGGAGTCTCAGACAGAGCAATGAAGCCTAATATGATACTGACATAGAATAGGAAACAAAATGACCTCCAGGTGAAGGAGAGAACAGATGGAGCAAATCTGAGATTCACTTCTGTAACAGAGAGATTCGTCCTCTGACTCAAGCAGGTCAAGTGAGCATAATATTAGATCGTCAGTCAAAAACAAGAGAATGAGATGTGAACCAGAAGTTGAAAACTCTCAGAGTAGGAATGGCAGGAGGGCCTGACAGAGGCAGATGGATATGGGACACAACTGTTGTCTATAAATTTCTTGAGTGAGAAAAGCTATTTAATTGATGTTGGTACAAGAAAGAATGTGCATATAATAGTTATTAATAATGTAGAAATGGAATTTGAAAGTTCTGGAGTTACAAAGTTCTTAACCATAAGATCAGGAGGCTCTGTCCCATTATGTGTAGGGTATGCAAATGCATCCTAGATTATCATCAGGTGGAGCTTGATAAGTTTTGGGATGCAATCACATACAAGATCAATATCCATGATGAGTGAGACCAGATTGGATGTTGTAGGAGGACCTTCCTAGTCCCTGCCCTAATCTTATTTTCCTAATAATGATGCTATTGACTCATATATATTGACCAGGACAGGTGCAGACAGACACTTATTTGCCTCACTCACTTTCCAAGCCAACTGGATGCCACCCACCTCTGGAATCCGTGTATCTGGAGAGGCCCAGGGCCGTATCCAAGCTGTTAAATCTGTGCAAATACATGACTTTCAGATCTGAACTGGCTTGTTTTTGCCTAACTTGGAGTGTGGGCGAGGGAGTCCACACCTATCCATACACCCTCAGAAGGCTGTGCAGGGCTCACATGTTCAGTGTCTCAGAGGAGTGTGAAAACTTCTTAGATTAGGGGTGAAGGGACTGTACAAGCTGATGTAGCAGGGTTGAGGGGACTCAAGATCTTGGAAGAAACATAGTAGCAATAGCAACATCTGCCATCCAGCAGCATGCTCAGGAGCTGCATGCAAAATGTCTCTGGTCACTCTTGTATGACAGTGTGATGTTTGGGGGCAGACTGGCCTGATGCACCAACATTGTGTAGTGTGTCACCAGTAACGTCACCTTACTCTTACATCTCTGATTGCCCTCTCCTCAGCTGTGCTGAGTTCCTAGACAACACTGCATAGTGGAGATGTTTCCTCCTGGTTAGAGTATCCCTTCCTTGCCTGTCATCGTATTTCATGTCGTGCTCCCAGGAGATGCATTGCTCCTCAACAAATATACAACCCCCTGCTCATGCTGCAGTGATCACAGCCATCTGCTGCATCCTGTTCCAATGCACTGAATGATGCTCGTATATTTAGAAGCAAATGTTTGTCTATTATAGGCCCATGACAGATTATTTTTAATTGCTAATAAGATCCTGATAGGGAAGGATTATTAGACCCTTCACTGTGTGGTCATTTGCATAAACAAGACATTTATTTTTCACACTAAATTTCCATTTTGCCCTCCTAGTAAAAATCTATGGTTTGTGCGCATGCGTGGGTTGAGCTGTTTCCGCTGTGACTGAAATGAGACCATTCCCACGCTACTTGAAGCTTTGCATTCTTGGCTCCTGAGATTATCTGCTAGCAGATAGCTGTGGCCATGTCTTCCTTTGATGAAGATGTTCTTATCTTAGCTGAGATGTGCAGTGCTTCATCTTGCAACATTTCTGCTACCCCCCCAGGCAGAGAAAGAGAGAGAGAACACAGTAAGAATGACAACTTGTACTTTCCAAATCACAGCCTCATAAGGACAACAGTTGATAACAAGCCCAAGCAAAACTGAACTACTGACTCACCCTCCTCTCTCCTGGCCTACTGGGAAAGATTGAGGATTTCTGTACAATTGGTGACACTATCTTCAATGGGATCTTTTTTTTGTCATTAAAGGAACTGAAGCTCCTTTAGACTATAAATTTATTATAGAAACTTGTCTCCATTTTTTTTCCCTGAGTTAGACTGCTTTGATCAACAGACCTGTGGTAGAAATGGCGCATATGTTTTGTTTCCTTGTGTGCCTATATTAATATGAAGTACAGAACTGCGTTTTTCACAAAGCCATACCATACAACAGTGATTCATCTGCAAATAAAATTATGTCAAAACCTGAGAGTATGATTTGCAAGTGCTTTCTAGCAAAAGTGAAATTTTAGGTTTTGAATGAAATAGCTTTGTTTCTACAAAAGAGGAAATAAAGGCATTCCACTTGAAAAACAAACAAACAAAAAACTACAAAAAGAAGCAGCATAGAAATCTTGATGCAGATATAGATAGCACATGGATTTAAGAATGACCTATATGTGGTTTCTGGGCAGGTGAATAAGATCAAAGAACTATCTTTTTTTCCAAGCCCATATCAAGTTTCAGTAATTAGAAATACATGTTTAGGTTAAAGCACAAGTCTAAAACATATTGTTTAAAGACTAGGACTGGAAATCTAAGCACGCTTCTAATGTTAATTAGAAAATGTTAAAGTTAATACTGCAAGCTCAAATCAGATCCAGATCACTTCTGTATATGTCGTAGAGGTGGGATTAATCTCACTTTTACCTTCTGAAAGTTAGACAATGAATCACAAATAGTTAGGTAGCCTCCTTAGCTGTATCAATAGGCAGAGGTAAAGCAATAATAGTGTGGTTCATTCAAAATTAAGGCAGGTGTGAGAGAAGGGAGGCAAACCTCCCTCAGAGCATGACTTTCTCTCTTTGTGCTCTAGGGAGAGTGCAAGTGACTCTCTTGCAAGTCAAGCACTGACTTGCAAGTTGGGTCCCACCGTGGCAAAGAACATGTTTTTTTTACTCAATGCTTACTAAATCTTACTCTTCAGTATCTTCTCTTTTTATTCTTTCCCTGGAATGTGTAAGCCTCTGCATTATTTTAGTCTATGCTGTTGAATTTAGCATAGAATACTGAATTTATTAATTTTCAGTGTGACTTTCTAATGTGCTCAAGTACAGTATTTGTTAGCTCTTTACAAACACTGATTAATGTCTTCAAGGATGTGTCACAAAAAAAAGGCAATATTATTACAACTTCTTTTTATAAAAGAGGAATGAAAGTGTCAAGATTAGAGTTGTTGAGAACTTCCCTGAACTTCCAGTGTGGACAAACTGATTTTTTAGTTCTTGCAGTACTATACATTATTTTGGAAGTGTGAGACACAGCGTACTGGGACCTGGGTTGCAACTGGGAGAGCCTAGTGACTTCTGCAAACCACCCTTTCCCAGGCCTTGTGTTTGCCACTGTGAAAAACAAAAGCTTTTACTCCAGTTAATACTGTTAGTTACAGCCTTTTTCTGGGACAATACCACTCTGGAATAATGTCACCTGAATTTACTTGGCTGGCCCACACTCTGTAAGGCATCATTTGTCCAATTTAACTGTAGGAGCATTGCTTCTGTCAATGTAGATCCATTTTAATCCATATTCTGCAATGTTAGTGCTGCAACAAAAGCAGCTGAGCTTTAGCTGACAGCAGCCTCCTCCATTGCACAGTCATCACAATTTTCGTCAGCACAGGCCATTCTTTGCCCCAAGTAGGGCAGGGAGTCCTGAGGGGAAACCACAGGAGTTTGTAATCAAATCATTAAAAGAGCTTATAATAATATTTCGAAGGAGTATGGAGTAAGATTTTGCAAGAAAACAGAATTTACTTTTTCATTCTTGATTTTGCAAATGTAGGTTTCTTCCAAAAATTTAAAAATATTGTCGCACACTATTTTGAGCAAGACAGCAACTGGGAGAGGAGAGGTGTCTCTGAGTGAAAGCTCTGCCTGGGTCGTCAGCAGCGCTAGGTGCTTTATTTGGCAGGTTTCCATCAGCTCAGCTGACACTCTAGGTGATGGCGATACTGTCGTCTCCTGGGCACTAGAGGGAGATGGATACACGTACTTGGTTGGTGGATTCCACAGCTGGAGAAACAATGCTTCTGGTTTCA